AAAAAAAAAAAAAGTGAATTTGGCTTAACACCCTGCGGGCCACTAACTCCAGCAGGAGGAGAGAGCGATGAGCAAACCTTAAATGTGACAAGAGGCAGGAGGTGTTCTGAACGCTGCCTGGAACTGGGAGAAACACACCCTGAAGCTCCTAAGATCCCAGTCAAACAAAATGAGGAAAACCTTGGAAGCGGAAACTAAGGATCAGGCCTTTTTTTTTTTTGTCTTGAGCACTTGGTTGGATTTTGCCTCCATGATTCATTTATTAGTAGCCGCGGGGCTGGAACACAACCCCGACTGCCGTGTTGTGCCTGAACCACAGGGCTGTTCCTGAGGGTTTGAGTGGCCTCCTCCTCCTGTCAGCACCTTGCCAAAACCCCAGCAACACCAGCACCGGGTCATCCCCCTCCTGCCAATCGCCGGGAGGGAAGGATAACTCTTTGAATCATCCCATTCTCCCCTTAATTCCAGGTGACTGAATCACTCCTGCCTCGCAGCTCCCGGGATATGATTCCCACTGGGATCAGCTGTGCAGTTCCCTTCCCCTGGCACTCAAGAGACAGAAGGTGCTGGTGGGGCCAGATGGACAAAATGCCACCAGTGACAGGCAGACAGACAGACGGGCACCTTCCGTGGGCTTGCAAAGGTCATACCCAAGCATAGGTGTTCCTTCATGCTCCACATGCAGGCATGCACACTTGTGAAGGCAAAATAAGGGCACGCTGGTGTCAGATCATCCGGAGAATTTGGAGCCACCTCTAATGAGGACCCTGGGCTTTTAAAGTGCTTGTCACTCAGCGTGACACAAGGGCAGGGCTTTACCTCCCAGGAGGAGCTGCCAAGGTTTCTGGGCTAGGGGAGCACGAGACAGTCTAACTGCAAGAGCTGAAAGTCAGGAGGGTGCTTTTGTTTAACTACTGGTGCAAAACAAAAACATAAACAAGAAACAAACAAAAAAAATATCAGTCCCACTCTGTTTTGGGGAAAAAAAAAAAGAAAAGAAAAAGAAATCTTATGATGCTTCTAGTTTCCTGCTTATTAACCAGGCAATTTTCCAAGAAAAATGAATTTGCCTTGGTGGGAAAAAATGAGCAGTTGTAAGTAATTCAGTGTTGGCACGTTCACTTTTGGAAGTTGAAACAGTGGATTTTGTTGCATTCATGACAAAGCCAAAGGGGAAGGGCAGAAAGTAACTCAAAACAGAAATGGAAGATGAGAATTGAGAGTGTGAGATATCCCTCATTCAAAAGATTTTTTAAAAAAAAAACAACAGAAAACAAAGCCCCAGTAAAAACTTTTAGTGAGATATCCCTCATTCAAAAGATTTTTTTAAAAAACCAGAAAACAAAGCCCCAGTAAAAACTTTCAACTTATTCTGAGCAAGCAAAAGCTCAGTAGTTTGCACTAGGTTTGTACAGCTTCAGTGTGTAAAAAGACAACAAATTTCAGTAAGGAAGGACCTAAATTCTTACACTTTTCTAGCACGTGTCCAGGGACACACGTTGTCCAATGGACACACCAGCAGATGTGCTTTTACAGGATTTCAAGCCAGCGTGTCATTAGGGCAAACACAAGCACCCCCTGCTTGGGGAAAAAGCCACTGTCCCTCTCTCCTAGCCCCGGGCTCTCTCACACACGGGATGGGGGCAGGCAGGGGGGGTGGCTGGAGAACTATGGATGCAGTTGTCTCCACTCTTCCAGGGAGGCCCCTTGGGAATTCCAAACTCACATACCTTCTGATTCACGTACCTGCCCGGCTGCTTTCCGACTGATTTAAGAGCGGGTTGATCGATAGCCCAGATGCGAGGGGGCTTCCAAAAATGTGTGAGGAAGGGAGGCTGAATGTTGAACCTGCCAGCGAGAACACCTACATGGCAAAACGAGGAGGGAGAGAGAGAGAAAAGACTTCGCAAAAATACAAGAGGAAAATAACTTCATTATTCCATCTCCTCTTGAACCCAGCTTGCTCATGAGAGAGAGTGTTAAAAATATCTCCTTGGAAGTCTCGCTAGACAGTTGAAATCTCCCCAGCCCTGTCTCTAAGCCAAGAGGGCTGAATGAGCCGTGTTAACACCGAGGCTGTAAAACTAACTCTCTCCTCCCTGTAAAACACCTCTCACAGCGAGCTCCTGACAAAGGACAAGGCTCCGTCTCTTGGCACACACACAGCCCACCCAGCTGGGACGTGTGAGCCCTCCCACCAAGTTATCTGTGCTGCAGAGTGAAGGTAGGGCTGGCACTGGTGGCAGGATCCTGCCGAGCAGCACGGGGACAGCCAGGCCTCTGCCACCCGAGCGCCGTCTGCGCTCCCCTTGCAGTCACTGCAAAGCAACACGTCCTTCTCAGTTGCAACTTCTCCCACCCCAAAATAGGCTGCTCTGATGCAAAATTGCCTACATCTTTCTACAGACTCTAAAGTAAGCTGCAGTTGGCAGCTCCCCTCCAAACTGAAGGCAGAGTGACTGTTCCCAAGTGGAAAAAGCAAGCCTTCTGTGCCCACTGCTCTGCCAGTGACTGCTCTGCCACACGCTCTCCTCAACTACAGTCCCTCTCCTGGTCCTGATGTTCTTACCTGCGTGGTGGAGACGGAGGAGGAGGAAGCTGGGATGGTGCTAGCAAAGGGAGACCGGTTGAGCTGTGGGAGAGACGAAGTGCCCTGGTGTGCCAGCAGGCTGGAGGAGAGGGGTGTGCTGCAGACAGCTCTGAGCACTCCGCCCCCGTGGGAAATAGGGTCCTTGTTACTGGTGTAGATCCCTGCAAGGGGAGGAGACGTGTTAGAGAGCCAGGCACCCCTCCCATGGCCTGCAAGCAGCTGGTTTTCTGCAGGGCTCGATCTCAAAACGGGAGGGTGGCACCGATGCACAAGCCCAAGTGCAACACGCATTTCAGCATCTCGTAGCCTGGCGTGCAGCGAGGGTGGTCACAGCCTGTAATCCATCTATCAAAAGGTATCACCAGCTTTTCCAGCCTAGCCCCTTCCCCACCTTCTCGTTTGCCCCCCACAACCCCAGAAATTGCAGCAGAAAGCGACTCACCGAAGGCACAAGTCAGTGGCAGAAGAGGGTGATGGGCTCAGAGAGTCCCACTCTCTGCTGCTCGTGTTAGACCACACTCCTGCTGAGCTAACCTGCCCCCTCCCGCGATGCCCAGGGACGATGGTGGGGCAGGGACAGATAAATGAGGAAGAAAAGGTGAGGAGAGAGCTGCTGAGGAGGGAGGGGACAGTCTGACTTCCCCTGGGCTTAGGCAGGCAGCAGAGACACTGCCCAAAACTGGGTCCCTCCGAGCCCTGCCAGCATCTCTCCGCAGAAGAACAGAAAAAGGAGCAGGCAGGAGAGTGGGACCTGGCAGCCACCTCCTCTTTGAAACATCCCTGTGTTGTTCCGGGGTGGAGGGGAGGCAAAAAAAAAAAAAATTGGCCTAAGGTTATGATTATGGAAGTTGCATCAATTCTTGCTGCTCCTCTCCTCTCTCAGGCAGCGCAGACAAATGGGCCAGGGCTCCCAGGCGCACACAACAAAATTATACACACCCCCCCCCTCCTCTCTTTGCAATCTGACCTAAATTGGAGCATCTGCAAACAACCCACAATAGACCGATGACAAGTTCTGCTGCCAGAACAGTGTCAAACCTCAGCCCCGAGCTGCAGGCCCCTCCTCTGCCTGCTGCCTTAACCCCTTCCTGCCCCACATCCTGGCCATCCTTAGCCCTGCCAGGCCAGGGAAGGGAGCTCTGGCTGGGAACAGCCAGAAGCCTCTCCGAGTTAATGGCACACCAGTCTCCCAACCCGACGTGGATGTGGTAAGACCAGGATGAGAGGTTTTGCTTTTAAAAGAGAGGTTAAACTTGAACCACTTCTGAGAGTCCCTCATTTGGGGTCAGACTGTGGTTGTTCCGGTTTGGCCTGGGAATGCCCTCTCCCGGCATTGCTTTGGGAGTGAAGCTCTGAGGTTTGCCAGCACTTGAGCAAAAAAAATAGTTTGAAATGCTCTCCCCCCAGCTCCAATCTGCAGGCCAGATCCAAGGAGAGAGAAGCTGACCCGGAGGAGATTTTAGAACGATGGCCAAGATGGGAAAGGGAGACCCAGATGTGCATTTTTATAGCTCCTGGGAGTGAATTAAAGGGACTGGATCCTGTGCTGATGGGTCCAGACACCAGCCAAGTGTGACGAAGGTGAGAGCGTGGCTGGGAGGAGCTGTGCACACCAAGAGCCCTAAGGGGGAACATACCTGAGCCCAGCAGCGGGGACTCCATGCTGAGGCTGGGCAGATTCCCCGTGTGGCTGAAGGACCGGGAAGAGTTGCCGATGCTGGAGCTAACGAGAGAGCCCCCGGAGAAGGGTGACGAGGAAGTAGATGTGGACCCAGCCAGCTGGGCACCCAAAATCTCTTTGCTTTTGCCCCCTTTTGGCCTGCCAGGCCCGTGCTTGTTCTTCTTGCTACCCTTGTGCTTCTTTTCCTTCAGCACCTCTCCCTCCTCCATGCTGAGGGATGGCATGCGCTTGTGGCTGCTGCTGCTGCTGCTCCCACTGGTCCCACTGGTCCCCACCGCGGGGCCACTGACGGGGTTTGAGGCTTTATAGTCCACGGGGGAAGCATCACGGCCTCTCTGCTGGCTCACCGCGGAGGTGGAGAAGCGCATGATGGACCCAAAGCCGGAGAAGATCACCTTCTGCTCAAAGACGTCCCCCTTCTGGCCTTCGTAGAGAGGGGAGCAGTGGGAAGAAGAGGAGGAAGAGACAGGCTTCCGGTACTTCTCGTCGTCCTGCTCGAGCTTGGGGAACGTCACAAAGTCCTGGGAGCACTGCAAGTTGCTGCAGGAGGTCCCTGGGGGAAGCAGAGGGGAAACAGATATAGGATGGCTCGTGGTGGCAGTGAGTCAGCCCAGAAGGCAACAGGAGCAAGGTCACAACGCAGGTCCTCTGGCACAGGCTTGTTACTGAGCTGAGGGACAACTTTGTCACCTCCCAGCCCCGCTCCTGTTGCTTTGACACTCTCTAGCAAGCATGAGAGGTGCACACTAGCAACTTCAGCCCATCCAAACGTGTCTGCTCCCCCAGGCCCTGCATCAGCACCATCCCTCCTGCACCAATTAGGGTCCCCAGGGCACGAAACAGCCTCACTGTTACAACAACAGCTCAAAAAAGAACTGCGCGAGGTGGGAGCAGATGGGAGCCCCAAAAGGCTTTGACTCAGGACTCAGGGGAGCCTGGAGATCAGGTTTTGGCTCAGGTCTCTCCACTCGTACTCCTACAGAGGAGAGGGCAGGTGCTGCCCATATTGCCTGTGCACAGAATCCCTTCCCTCCGCCCTCCGCTCAGAACATCTGGAGCTGGTTTTCCTTGCAGAGCAGCAGGCCTGCACCGGAGGGGAGCTGTAACACTCATCCGACTCAGTTCTCCCCTCTGTGCATGGAGTTAGTAGCCGTAAGACTCTTCCCTTTCCCTTCAAGGGGTTAAAGAAATAGCCA